GTGCAGTGTTTTTAATTCTTCTGGAAAGATACCCAGAAGTAGAATAGCTGCATCGAATAGAACCCCTAGTTTTAGTTTTTTAAGGAATGACACAGTTTTCCACAATGGTTGCACCAGTCTATACTCCCGCTAACAGGGGAAAAGGGTTCCTTTTTCCCCAAAGCCCCACCAGCATTTTTTCTAGTCTTTGGTCTTATAATTATTTTCTTTCCATGTTCATTTGCATAGGGCTGCCATTCACTAAAGCTTTCAGTCAAGACTTGATTCCTTGTATTTATATTTCTAGCATGATAAAAGAAACAGTGATAAGTCAACTTACAGATAAGCTGTTGGTCTCTGAGAAATGCTCCTTTGCAGTATGACTATGACAAACTAGTTTACTGATTTATGGTTGACCTATTATGACTATAACTTGGGTTTTGCACACTAAAATGAATAAAGGTTATTTTATTTTTACATAATCTACTCTTTCACACTGTCTCCCTTTAAAAATCACCCACTGAAGTTTCTAACTCAGATATTTCTCTCCCTCTTTCTGTCTCTTTCTCTGCCTATTTAGCCTTAAAACCAAAAATATTCTTGTAAAACTTTAATTAATATTACTTCACCAAATTTCTCATATGGTTTTTATTGGAAAAAATGTCTTAGTTGCTTCTGAACTTTGAATTTTTAATTTCATTGTTTTAAAATATAAAACTATTGATTATTAGACTTGTTACAACCCTCACACCTCAGCCTCCTGAGTATCTGGAAATTTAGGCATGTAGCACCATGTCCAGGCTCTAGTCCATCTGAACAATAACAAATAATGATGAACCTTGGTTTAAACAAAGTGAATCATCCTGCCTCCTGGTAATCACACCACTGAAACAATTTCTTCCCCAGGTTCTACCACACCACTGAATTTCAAAATTAAATTTAAAAATAATCATATTTCAAAGGTTAATAGTCCTAAATTAGAACCTACAAATGTCCCTGTAAGGCAAAGAAGAAAGTAGAGTGAAAGTAGACAAATCTGAAAGACAAAACCTTCTATTATCATTACAGGGGCAAAAACATCTTAACACTTCCCTATCTTGTGCGAGGCCCTGGTTCAGTCTCCAGTGCCAAAATAAATAAGTATATAAATAAATGGAGTAGAAAGTTAAGTTTGTTCAATGAAATAAATATGAGATATGCTGGTCCACAGATGAGCCTTCTTACCATACCCCTTTATTTTCATATAAAGTCTAATATTTGAAAAGTGGCTGTTGTTATAAATTAAATTCTCTCTTTTTATTCTAATATTACATCATATATTTCAAGTTTCTACTTGAACACACGTATGGAAAATAATACATTAGGAAAATCCTATGGATACTGTTTTGGCTTGATACTTAATCACTAAGTTTCATAATAGCTTATGGAATAACAACATTTTGTGAAATGCTGCCTTGTGTATATCTTAAGATGCAGAATTAACAAAGTATATATGTGCATAAATATAAAAAACTATTGACTATATAAGCACTATTATTGAGTCAATAAAATCAGTTGCTTTGTTAATATTAGATTCTATTATTATCTATAATTATCTATAATTATATGACATTCATATAATTATTACATGAATAATATAGGCTGTAGGTTCTAATTTAGGACTATAATAATAATAATATAATAATAATTATATGACTATGAATACACTGGTAGTAAAATTGCAAGACAAAACAATTCATAAAGCCTACAGTTGCTAGACAGAAATCTAAATCAGGATTGAATATTATTCTCCAGCTTCATCAGTAATAAACAAATCAGAAGTGTTTAGGACTCTAAAACACACTAGGTTGCCAGAGGCAACTCATATCAGTGCCATAGTACCTTTTAGACTTTCAAAAAAACCACGGAAACATTCAGTATCTTTGAGACACCATTTGAACCACTCTCTCAATAAGGTTCATGATTCCAACATGAGATTGCAACACATTCTGCCCTATGATGTGATATCTTTGTGAGCCTGCCTTGTCTGCTATTTTCCACAAGAGAAGCCAGACGCAATTAGAAAGCCAGGGTGGAATGCCAAATGAAGCTGGCACTGTCCAGCCAGATTTCAAAGTTTGAGAAGTTGTGCAGTAACCAGCTAAGACAAGTGACCCATAACTAAGTGATTGTGGCTATCTAACAGCAACATGAAATATTTTTCTTTTAATTTATATGTAGCAATTTTCTTCACATGACTGCAAAGTGTTAGGATATTAATAGTCATTAAATCGTATAGACCTAACTACTTGATCAATGAGACTGTCAGAAGATTTGTTTGGCCAGGGGCGCCACTGGAAACATTGCTGAGCTACAAGAGCACTATGAAAGGAGGGCATCTGAAAACCTGTGGAGTCGGGATGTTTGTTCTCTCTTTTTACTTTTATTATTTACTCTTAACTCTGCTCTCACTTTTATAACTGTAGGAAACAAAGTTCATAGGTCAGTGTTGCGATAAAGCTCTTAATGCTACAAGAATTATTTATAAAAGTAAATTTGTGGTCCTGGCTTTAAATACTTCTGATTTGTTTATTACCAATGGAACTTGAGAATAACATTCAATCTGGATTTCGATTTGTAATAAAAGACAATCAAACTTTTTTTTAAAAAAATAGTGAGGTTTCAGTTTCATGAAAACTTCAAAACATAGTTTTAAAACCCTTTGGACTTGACAAACCCAATTGAATATTGCCAGGCACTCTTTTCTTTAATTTTTTAGGTTCTTGTGTATTTGTGGAGAAACTTAATATTTATGTTACTGATTTATTTACACTTAACTCACCGGAATGTTTGCTAACTGCTACATCATTTCATATCTAAAGAGCTTTATAAGAATTTACGGCTGGAATTTTATTTATTTATTTATTTAGAGACAGGCTCTCACTGTGTTGCCCAGGCTGGCCTCCAACTCACAGCAATTCTCCTGCCTCAGCCTCCTGAGTGCTGGGATTACAGGCGTGTGCCACCGCACATAGCTATAAATTTTCCTTGACTATTTCTTCTGTTAACCAGAAATTCTGTTTGTTTATAAATCATGTAGAACAAGAATCTCAAGTTTCACTTTAATTAGATGTAGTTCACACAAAACAACTGGGAGTAAACTAGTGCAATGTTTTCAAACATTTGCCTTATGCTGTGTCTCAGAGCGGCAGATCTGCATTGTGTCCAGTGGAAAATGATTTCAATTGTTACGCAGTTAAATAATAAAATAGTTAAATAAAAGTTAAATAAAAAAATGATGTAGCAGTTAGCAAACATTCCAGTGAGTTAAGTGTAAATAAATCAGTAACATAAATATTAAAATAGTTTATGTATGTTGCCTTTTAGTGGAAATGGTTTTGTTCTGTAAACAAAGTCGAATTCTCATAAGTTTTAAGCTCTCTTCCTGTGAGAGTCTAAGATAGTGTTACTGCTGTCACATTTTACCAGTAATATTCAAGCCAACATAATAGCCTCAGTCACCATATTTTAACGGTAATAAATCCTGCCTATATTCTCAAGAATGTGTCCTGCATTAAACAACAATATATTAAAAAAAAACAAAAACTTTAAAAATGCATTTGATCACATCTACAAAAACAACTGTTCATCACATTGTGTTATTTGGCTTAACTTTTAAAAGTCTGCAGCATAAGGCATACAGCAAAATTACATTTAAAGCAATTAAATACAAGTAATCCTATTTAGATTCAACAGGCGGCTCCCTGAAAATGTAGAGTTCCTTCTGATACACACAGACAGTCTGGCAGCACCAGGACATTCTTCTAGCTGGAACCATTTGAAGTTGCCATTTCTAAGGGGAAAAGTGCTCAATTATTAGCAGTTTCACAAGTTTGAAGCTATATCTTGTCAATATCGAAAGTTCTATCATAGATGAATTTCTTTTTAAGCCAGGCAAAACTATTTATATTTTAAAATAGTCGTTCATATAGTTCTCATAGCTTTCTAAGCCCGACATATCTTAGTGAATCAGGAGAGGGACTTGATGCTTAGTAGGCTGTTTTCATCCGTCACCGAGAATGGCCAGCTTTTGTAGTTATCACCCTAAATCTCAGGGCGCTGAAACATCGGCTTCTCCCGCACTCCTTCCTGTCTTCGCCTCTGCGGTCTTCGCGCTCTGCTGCACAATGATGCTACACTGAAGTTCCTACAGCCGGAAGGAAGGGGCGCAGTGAGGGGCAAACTGGCCCCTCAGACTCCTGCTCGGAGAGTCCGGCAGCTCGCCTCTGCTCAGGTCTCATTGGTCAAAGTACACCACAGGGCCAGTCGCACGACCCTTCTAGGCGTCTTGACCGCGAAAGAGCAGGGTGCTGGTAAACAGCTGTAATAATCACAATACTGAAGCTCTACGTTAGAGCTCTCAGGTGACGTCACATTCGCCAAGGAATCTGAGCCCTAGATAATGCCTGTTGGGACTCCAAATCCACTTAAAGGTCTGTAAAGAAGGTCTGTAAGTTCTCATAAAACTGAGTGCTGGAGATAGAAAGCCTCCTAGAAGAGGCAGTGCGTGGTATGAGAAAAGAATATTTGCTCCACTGTTTGGGTGAACTGTCTGCTCTACAGTCGGATTTAATTAGCACATCGTGCAACAGCGCTGGACCCTATAACCAGGAATCTGATCCGAAGCAGACAGACTCAGCCGATGACGCTTCCTGGAGCCCAAAGCCACTGCGACTGCAGCTTCACATGGTGTTCACTCCAAACAGCCCACTGGCTGATCTGATTCCATCACGGCCAAATACAGCTGGGCGGGGGATGTAGCTCGGTGGTAAAGTACTTGCCTGGAGTGTACCTGGTTCCATCCTCACAACAAAGCGGGAAAATTAGTTTAAGACTGAAAGGGGAGACATAGGCCCATTTGACTATTAAACGGGGTGTGGTGTGCAGTTAGTTGTAAACACTCTCACTCACATTTCTTGTTGAGAAAATTCCTCAAAGAACAAATTCTTACATGGATTAAAAAATATAGAGAATGGGGGCTGGGGATTTAGCTCAGTGGCAAAGCGCCTGCCTGGCAAGCGCAAGGTCCTGAGTTCGGTTCCCGGTACTGGAGAAAAACAAACAAACAAACAAACACAAACCCAAATAAAATATAGAGAATGTAATTCTGCATTACAACAGAAGATAAGTCAGCATGAACAGGATTATTGTTGATGAGTAAAGATTCATACAAAATATGATTTAGGGACAGAACACCAGGTTTCTTTAAACTGGCTAGTAATAATCAGCTTGAAAATTTTGAAATAAACATTAACGATACATTTGAGAATCTCACAAGCATCAATATGGCAATATTCTACTGTTGAGATAATTTTCCAACCATTTTTAATTTCTCCATGGAAAATATTAGATCAGGCCAGCATCAGGATCACTATTTACTTCAATGTGGTTACAAAAGAATGAATCTAGTAAATCCATCCTGAACCCAAGGCATCACATCAGTTCCCTTTAGTATCCAGATGATCTTTGCTTGATTTAAAAGACATCTGAAGTTGCTCTAGGCAGGAAAGCTAGCCCATTCGAAAGGAATTTGAAACTCTTGCTTGGGGAGCACCTAGATGCCATGGCCACGGATAGATTACAAAGTCAGTCCAGTCAGCCCAGGGAAAACTCAGCCCCCACGAACCTGCCTGGAAAACGGTCTCATCAGCTTCATTTGCTCTGGCCTGGTCACACCGACTTTTCTTGCACATTGCTTTTATTTTTAAATATTGTTATTTTACCTTCATGAAAGAGAAAGCACTACAGCAGCATCACGCATCATCTAGGAGCAGACGGGCTACAGCTCAGAGTCCGAGCGCCTGCCTGGTTGCACAGTGCCCTGGAAAGATTACCAGCACTACACAGAAAGAGCCTCGGTTCCTACTAAGTTAAATACTCCTTAATTTTCTTCCGGTGTTTCTGAGCTATATTTCCGTTCTAAACATTAAATGTCATCAGAAATATATCATTAAAGACAACATGAAATGCACAATACAAAATAACCACAGTCTTCTAACTTGCCACAATTGATTAATAGTAACTACAACTTCAACAGTGTTTCCATCACAGTTTAATTCTTTGCAAAGTAAGTTTTTATCATTTTTACGCAAATTGTGCTTTTCCGTGACTGAGTCTCTGCCTACTCCCGAGGCTCAGAAATAGTTCTGCATTCTCTTCATTTCCTTTCAGGTCTGTTCTTGGCCTCTCCCTTTGTGTCATCCTGTTCTCCAGATGGTAGATCCTTGCTTGTGAGCCCTGGCGCAAATATTCCTTTATTAAGGTTTCTAGATCCTTCACGTAATATATATGCTCTTCGCAGTGTTTTATGGAGCTCACTGTAGGGCTCATGGCTTCCATGGCAGGACTGTCTGGAGATAGAATTTCACTTCAAAGGCCTACCTCAATCCCTTCTCATCTGCTGCCTGCAAATCCAATTTCCACACTCCCTCTGAGCAAGAGGTCAAGTCGATGATTTTACCATCTTATTATTATTATTTTCTTATATTCACTTTCCTTTCAATATATTTTTCATGTGCCTCAAGTGCCACGGGCTCTTGGCCAGCATTTTCACATTTACCTGCTGTGTAATTCCCTCTGTTACTGAAAAGATAACCCCTTCCTCCAGCTCTCCCCCCATATTTATAATCCATGCTTTTATGCATTCATTGACTAGTCTGGAACTTGAATTTGGTAAGATCTTCAAAAAGAAATGATTGATCACACAGATAAAGATTGGATACTTGTGTGGACTCATGGTTTATTTCCTGCCACACTGTACTTCAGCTGAGAAAAACTGGTAACTTTGTTATTTGGAAAGATGGCGAAATGATATTTTATGGACTTGATTTGGTTTCCACCTTTTGATATACAACGTTTACCCGCTTTATGCCTGGCTTTCTCCAAAAGGAAGAATTTATGGCATGATTTAATCTTGTCTTTTAACTCCTTAGATTCAATTGTTTAGCAGGAATGGCTAAGGTGTTCTTCCACAAAAGAAAAAGAAAAAATGAGACCCATTCTGCTGCACTTGGACCTAAGAATACCTAGAGATTTTCTGTACTTTGCAAACTAATTCCAACCCTCAATTCTGACCAGGTAAGGGCAGTGAGCCTTCAAAACAGAGATAAACTATTATTTTCATTAATTTCAGCTTTAAGTAATGTTCAACTTATAATGGGAAAACCACTTGACTACTTTCCTTCTAGGAATTCATTTTATTTTAGCCAAGATAAACATTGTATTCTGTGAAGAAATTTCACACTGAAGGTACAGGTCAAAGAACACCTATTTGTTAAATGTTATGGTTCAGACTTGCTAATGAATGTAAATGTAATGTGCTTTTTTTCTTCTTTCCAATTCAACACAATGGCTATTCTTTGATTTAACTCTGTATATCTTAGATAAATGTGCATCTAGTTTAAGCAAATCACAAAATTCTCTGCAGTATCATGCTCACGTGGTATTTGAAATCGCTCCGTCTTTACATGAAACCTCATTCCAGGACGCGGGCAAGACACCCCTCATGCAAGTACAGCCTTTAAACAGAAATAAACAGGATCCTGTTCATAGCTCCAGATGGTATTGCTGAGAGCCACTGCCGCTGCGGAGAACGGCAAGAGCCATCCCAGGTCTTGGCTGTAAGCACGCAGGGTGTCACAGAGGGAGTCATTCTGAGACTCCAGATGCACAGCACCCACAGGAAGCTCCTGATCATTAAGTCGTGCACACAAGCAATATCCAACCGAAAGCAAATAAGAGTTTGAGGACCTTCAGTGTTTTTCCCTTGGAGTGGAAGGAGAGGGTAAGAGCATAAGCAATAATTTAAGGGCTGTTAACAAAGTGAATAACCAGTTTTTACTTGATTTAAATTTATATGACTCATTTTCCTACTGTTAACAATCAGCAAATAAAGATGATAGTTTTTAAAGTTAGAAGACCTAGGCCTGAATACTTACCCTAAAGCCCCCACCAGTCTCCACATATAGATAGAATTTGAACAAATTTGTAGTCATTTTAAACAGCTTCCTTCAAGTGAGAAGGAAATTCCACTTCTTGAACTTTATGTTTTTTAGATATACGCTGTGGGATGAATTTAGATAACACAGGTGAAATTTCCCTGCTATCTATACAGCAGTTTGTTTTACTAATTTGCAATGTGCCTTCTATTGATATCTATTGATATCTTGAAATTATAACTATACTGCATCTCTGTTTCTTACTTGCTGCAGGCTTAATTTTAAGAAGCTTAATTTAAAGATTATTATAGGTTTAGACTTTGCATATATTTTGACTAGTCTCTTTCTCTTGTACTGATACACAGTATCTGAAAATAGCACTTAATGAAGTGAATATATCACAGCATATCAATTCCCCTGTTCATATAATTGTTAATCATTTTCAAGTAATTTCCTTATATCTCATTTTTCATGTAAAAAACTTGAATACTTTAGAATACAGTTGTGCATTACTAGACACAGTATTTTTCTCTGTTTTTTTCCTACCATAAAATGTGTGTATAGAGGAGCAACCAAACACTGGTACTCTGCACCAAAGAAAGATGCTGTGATCTGAATTCTGCACTGTGACATTCACATGTGGGAGCCCTAACACCCAGTGCTACTGTTTTTGGGGATAGGCCCTTTAGAAGATAGGTGAAGTTACGTGGAACCATAAGGGTGGTGCAGTAGCCAAGTATGTTAGCATCCTTCTAAGATGAGACAGCAGAGCGCTGCCTCTTTCTCTTTGTTATTTAAGGACAGCAGAAGGAACAGCTATCTGCCAGCCAGGGAGGGAACCATCACCAGACATAGGGCCTGCTGCCATTGATCTTGGACTAGCACACTTTGGGAGGGTGAGAAATAAACGTCTGTTATTTCAGCCACCATGCACTGTATTTTGTTCAAGTTCAAGGTGCTCGTGCATTTTCTTAAACTGCAACCTTTATTGTGTTCCATTTGATTAGATGCAGAAAAACAACTGCCAAGGAATTCTGAGCCCAAACCATTACAGTCTTGTGACCTTGTTATTTTCATTGACCAGTTTCAGTAATGTGTTGGGATTGTAAGAGTAAATCAAGCTGCTCTGCGTGAAACCAGTCATGGCTCAAATTGGCAAACGCTCAATAGGATCTTTCACCGGGGCATAGGCAGAGTAACAGCATTAGAAACCACTGAAATATGCAATCATTTCCTTTTCCATTAGAGATAGAGCTATAATTATTATCAAGCACTTTTAGCACTATGTTTGCCTAGAAAATAGAAAAGAACAACATTGCTGACAGTGTTGCAAGCCCATTAACGAGCTTTTCTTAGAAACTGGCTTCTTTCAAGGTGATCAGCCATGTCTCCCATGATGATTTAAGCACGGCCCTTTAAAGCTTAAAGTCAAAGCCAGGAGGTGTACTATAAATCACTGAAATGTAAGATGCCTTCAATTGCATATTAGTGGTTTGGGAAAAAAATGACATGCTTATTCCCTCTGCTTTGGAAAACCTAAGAGCTCCTTCTGTTTTCCTTCTGGATTGTATTTCTTCTGTTGGCTTTTGCCCTGGTAGGCAATGACATACACAAATCATCCGCTGTGGACCAAGAATTACTCTAGGTGGGGAAGACATACAAACATGGGTGATGTCATAGACTAGACCTATGTCTTAGAAAAAGATGATGGGGGTGTTTTTATTTTGTTTGACTATATTTTGATTTAAGGATTCTATCTTCCATACATAGCATAGCAAAAGCCATGACTTATGAATATTGATGAATTCTATGTACCCAGCAGTTAAAAATACACTTTTCATGCATTCTTTTTTATTCTTCACAAGTTTTACAGGTTAATAGCAAGGACGCCACAATTCCAAAAAAAGGAACTGAGACAGAATTGCACAAGTAACTTTTTCTCAGAAACACTGCTTATTAACAGTGGTGGTCAGACTTAAATAGTGAGTTTATCTAGCTCCAATATCCATGTTAACTAGCTTCTTTTTTTCTTTTCTAGGAAAAACAAAATATTTTCTAGTAAAACAATAAGATAATAGCACTGCTTAATGCACTGTGCATTGTCATCTTCAAATCAGTTGCTCAGAGTACGAGACATAAACCCTCAGATGATAGACTCTGTACGGAAACTGGCATCTTCACTCATACCAACTAAAAAGAGTAAGCACTGTGTCATGAGATTTCAAACAGGTCTGTGGAGTATGGCAAAATACATTTATAATTGGTGTAAAATTAACGGGAGGCAACACAAACAAAAACTAATTTATCCTGCTATCTGCACTGTTGTCTTCACCTCAAGCATGCGTACTTTTTGGCATTGTTAGCACTGTGTAATCATGGGGGAGCAAGCTGCAAACGTGATAGGTCAGATCCACAAATACTGGCCCAGGCTAGCTGATGAAATACTTTGACTCTGGTGAGCAAATTGGTTTCGAGGAAGTTATTACAGGGGCCAAAGAGAAGGAACCTGGTTTCCCAGTAGATGGCAGCAAAAGGAAAACACCAGAAGGCTGTGTGCTAGAAGCTGACCCGCTGGGGAGAATCTGAATCAGACAAGGAACACTCGGGACCAAAAGGACGTGACACCTGAGACATTCCTCTTCAGTGACCTGGCTGAACAAGGAGACAAACAAGATCTAACCGGAAAATGAGGGAGCAAATTCTCGCTATCACAGGGCCTGTGTGGACCCGATGTGGGTACCGATTGCAGATCAGACTGGAGGCCATCCTCTGAAGTCCCACGTTCAGGAGCAGAGAAGACGCCTATGCACCTGGAAACACGGCCAATTAATAGAAAGTTGTAACTGACTGAATAAGTCTTTCCATAACAGAAATCAAGGGATAGCTACGTAGCAAAGTGTCTTAGTTACTTTCTTCGTTGCAGGGACAAAACACCTCACACCCACAATTTAAGTAAGAGGAGTTTTATTTCAGCTCACAGTTTGCAGAGGTTTCAGTTCTTAGCTGGCTGGCTCCAAGGCAGGGCGGCATGGCAGTGGGGCACAGCAGAGGAGGCTTGCTTATTGCAGGGCAGCAGGAAGCAGAGGGAGAGAGAGAGAAAAAAAAGAGAGAGAGAAAGAAAGAGAGAGGGAAGGAGGGAGGGAGGGGGCAGGGAGAGAGAAAGCTGGAGGGGGAGGGAGGGGGAGAGAGAGAGAGAGAGAGAGAGAGAGAGAGAGAGAGAGAGAGAGAGAAATCAAGGGAGAAGGAGGGAAAGGAATCACCCTAGGCTATGCCCCAGTGACCACCTCGTGCAGCCAGATGTCAGCCTCCAGTCACACTTAGCTATGGACTGGTCAGTCGGCTAACCCACTGAAGAGTATCACACTCCTGTGATCCAATCATTCCTCAAAAGCCCTGCCCATGAGCACACAAGGCTTTAGGGGGACATCCAGATAGAATGATCACACAAAACCCATAATTTACTTCCTTGCTTTACTTCCTCTTTAAATTTCCAAGTCTTCCCTCTCTGCTCCAGCCAAGTTTTACATCTATGCTGTTGCAAACACATTTGGTTAGAATAAAAGTTCTAACCTCTCCTTCATTTCCACTTGTGTAGTGCAATACCCTTCCACGTTTTGTGGATTTCTTCCCTCAGTCTTCAAGTCCTTCTTTTACCACTTTCTTCTTTTGCATCAGTTTGCAATTTGGGTCAGCAACTGGATGTCCCAGGAGATCCTATTGTAACTGTCGATGAATAGAGAAATTTAGATACAACGTGTCCTGTTATGCTAGACACCTAAGTGAAACAGAAATTAATAGGCAGTCAGAGAGGGTCTGGACTCACAAGGGAGCCCATACAGAACATGAAGACATCAAAGCTGTGGCAGAAGGTGAATCTGAGGAGGGTCGGGCCTCAAGGAGGAGACCAATAACCAGGCTACAAGTCTCCCAAGAGATAAAGAGCAGCTAATTACACTGTAGTTAGCATGCCCTGGTGCAGTGAGCCCAGGTAGGCATCAGACACGTGGGTAAGTGACCAGAACATCCCTTTCCAGGAATGCCTTTGTTCTTTCTAAGAGCAGAAGTTATAGCTAGACTAAAGTTACTGATGTGCACCACACACCCTTGCTATGTGCCTCATTTCCCTGCTGGATCAGTGTCAGCAGACCAACTCTATTCGTACTCCTACAGGTGGATTGTAATTGGACCCACATTGTATCAACACTGTGATTTTGTGTATAAAATATCCTGGGAGAAAGACCCTGCACAGCAATCTACTTTAGGGGCTTCTCCTTCTCTTAGGAGATTTCCAGCCACAAAACTTGCCTACTCTTCACCTCGTTTGTCCTTGAAATTCATTCTTTGCTATTGTGGGGACATCAACTTGACACATTGGACATCTAACAGGTGGGGAGTTATGTGTTTCAAATACTGTTTCAAATACTGCTAGTTCTATGGCAAAGAAATTTGGTTACGTCTATAACTCATTGAAACCCCTTTCTACTGCATTACAGGAAACTTCCAAAATGTCAGGAGATGCACTCTTAGCCAAAAGTGTAATCTTAAAGAATGAAAATGACCTATGTTTTCAGAAAATCCCTAGCAAGATAAAACTTTGAGTCTCTATTCTTTCTTCTTTAGGTTGATAGGTGGGAGGGTTTCACAGTAAGAAAGAGACAGAAAAGCCATGCTTTTCGCTCCATCAATTTAACATTTTTCTCTTGTTCCATTTTTAAATGTTCTGAGTAAGTAAGCACAATTGAGAAATGAGACATAACTAATCTAATCCTACCTGGCAAGGTATATGCTAAGTGTATCACCATGTGAAATGTTCAGTTCTGCAGGGCTAACGTATATATTAACTGTGATGACGGATTTTATCAATGCCAATGATTTTAAGGAAGCCCAGGCTTCTGAATTCCACATTTTCTCCACATCAGTGATTTCAGTCTGCTTATTTCCTTGTTTGTCTTTTGGAGAGGCTTCAAATTTCCTCATCATAACCACTAAATAGATACTAAATTCACTATGTAGTAATTTTAATATTTCAAAATAGTGTTTGAGTACTTTGCTGTAACCTTATGAGAAACTCGAAAGGTAACGTGAGTTATTTTTGAAAAAAAAAAATTACTGACAAGCCCACGTTGGTCCTTTTAACAAATTATCTTTTACTTGTTTTTGATTATTTGCTGTGTTGAAGTGAAACAGTGTAGAACATCGACTATATTCATCTCTCTCATGGGCAACGCACATTCTGTGGTTGAAATAATTGATTTTAAATCTAAACAAAAAATATTTCTCATACCTTACAATAGCCAAAAAGAATTTTTTTTGAAAAAATAAGGGCCAAGCAGAGAATATTTCAGCAGTGTGAGGCATCTGACCTGGATGGCAACCAATGAACTCTTCCTGGTAGGATATAAGGAAACATTTTGTCTATGTTCCAGAAATCTTTATTTACAGAGTCAGGGAACAGGCCAGATTCCATACTTAGACTATAGATTACTTTTCACATTAAATAATTGCTCATGCCTCCACGGGCAGTTGTATACCTTTTATTACCACTGGCAAAGTTGCATGTATCTGTTCTCCTGACATCTTGTCAGGTTCATGTAGCTGTCTGTAATCATCTGACTTACTCCTTTCTTTCAGTTTTACAGATAACAGTGTTTGGTTAGGGGATAGTTAAGTGATTAGAGGGACAAAACTTCATATCCCAATAACAGTTTCTTCTCTCTCACCAATTTTCTATGTAGAACAGTCTCATGATAGAGCAACATTATTCATGGAGTGATGAAATTCCATTTAGAAAGAATTTAAAAGTCTTTTAGTATAAGGTCCTATTTTGAAAATGAGGATTTGGGGATAAAGAAATTAAGTTTTCCCAACAGAAGAGAACCAAATAATCCTCAGAGTTGAAGTCAAGCCTTCTACCTCTTTGGTACATTGCGGTTCCCACATTTTCAACAACATGCTGAGTATCCGTCATCGTCACCTGATACACAGGCTGATGGGCGTGAGGTGCACAAATAAAGCAGCCTAACGCTCTAGCTGATGTGAAGATGCAATCAATGCTGGCTTCACTCCTCTGCCATGCTCTGAAACTGACTCACATTAAACTTGGATTTCCCACAGCCTTGCCAAGATGTTGCCAAATACCGACCAAACACAAAATGCTGTTATAAGACCTCGTGTCTGAAGGACAGGACAAGGAGAATTTCCACTGTCCTTTGTAGTAATGGAGGCTGCACATTCGCATCTTAAGGAAAAGTAAACCTCTAACCAGAAGCTTCAGAGAAAATAACCACCCAGCTCCAATCTGCATGTCAAAGAGTTGCACAGCTTGTGGACAATGAGGTGGATCTTTTGGAAAAATGAATTGGTGAGTTTTGATGACGGAGTCTGGTGTTGGTGTGGGGTATGTGTGTGTGTGTGCATGCATGTGCGTGTGTGAATACGTTTTCTTCTGAGAGCTACTGGAGCAGTGTGTGTGGAATGTGGTCCTCAGAAGGGTACCGTGATCTGGATGTGAGGTTGCTAGGCAACTTTCCCTATTGTCTTAAACAAACTGCTCGGAGCTGGCAGCAGCTGTTAGAGTTCCTGGCTCTTAAGAATAACAGAGCTGAAAACACAAAGAACAAAGGTCTTCCACAATAAATGGCAATAAATAACCGGAACTTCCAATGCCAGTCAATGCAGGCACTTGGATGTTAAAGCAATTAATAAGGTTAACAAATATAAGAGGTCATTTGAATTCTCTTTGTTGTCAAATACTTCTCCCCAGACACTTTCATTTACATGGTAAGACCTTCTGAAAAGAGAATCCTGTGCTGGGATTCTGATAAATTATTCCTCCAAAATCACCATCTTCTATGATTCATGGAAAATTTCACCTTATGGAAAACAGTATAAACTTTATCTTGAATAAATTTTATGTACCTTGTACAGACACAAAGTCTATCACTTATGTTAAAAACAATTCACTCCATCATATCACCCAAGTATACCCTGTCTTTTCCCCTTGTAGGCCTACCCAGGCTTTCTTCCTCTCCCTTGTTATCATGAGGTGGCAGTGTGCAATGACTAAATAAAGCCACACACACACTCATACACTCTCTCTCTCTCACACACACACACACACACACACTCATACACACATAGCTGAGGCCCTATATATCTTGTGAAATCTGAATAATCTCTATGGGTTGCACCAA